CAAGAATTTTGAAATTTAACCACTCCCCACTTATCCTCTTCCCAGAAGTTACTCCCTAACAAACTTCCCTCTCTCTCATTCTCTTAGTTTAGGTCAGTCCGCGTAAATAGATTCATCAAATTCCCTCTCAGACAGAAACGCCATTCGACCATCTGCAAGGCTTTCAATCTATTTGCCTCATCTCAATACTGTGAAGGAGGAATGGTCGTTGGGAGAGAACAGCTTGGTAAGTCCTATCCTTACAGTTTTCTTTTTGTCATTTTGTCAGAACTCATCAATTTTCGTTTCGTTTGATTTGATTTGGGTTGCTGAAAAATAAATACCAAAATTATGTGTTGTTCTAGAAAAAGTTGGTACAAACTGGTTAAAAGGGGCCAATAATCGATTAAAGTTGGACAAAAGCTGGCTGGAAATAAGGCCATAAGGAAGAGAGATTGAGGAAAAGAAGAATCTAGATACAAATTAGGGTTTGATCCAAGGCTCAGGTTCGAAAGTCGAAGCTGGTTTTTGAACCTCAACCTTGGTAGATTACAAACCCTAAACCTCAGCCTTCATAGATTACAAACCCAAACCGGCACTCGAAACAGGTTCGAAGGAACCTGCAACAACCGCGTAGCCCAGTCCAACATCCAAGTCTTCAGCCTAGTTCGTAGGTTAGTCCAGCCCAATCCAATAGTACAGGGCTTTTTGATTGTGACATCCCACCCACATCGGTTGGTGAGGGGAACTAAACATTATTTACAAGGGTGTGAAAACCTCTCCCTAACTGACTCGTTTTAAAAACCTTGAGAGGAAGCTTGAAAGGGAAAGCCCAAAGAGGACAATATCTGCTAGCGGTGGGCTTGGGCCGTTACAAATGGTATAAGAGCGGCGATGTGCCAGCAAGGACGTTCAGCCCTAAAGGGGCTTGGATTGTGAGATACAACATCGATTGGAGAGGGGAACGAGTGGCAACAAAGACACTGGGCCCGAAGGGGGTGGATTGTGAGATCTCACATCAGTTGGAGAGAGGAACAATGCATTCTTTATAAGGGTGTGAAAACCTCTCCCTAGCAGACGCATTTGACACTAGTATGACCACTGTTTGGTCAATAAAGTAATTTTTAGCCAAAAGTAGGTTTTCGTTTATTATGCCTTAACTCGATATCGTGGGCACATGAAGGTTGAATTGGTTTACAAAGGATAGATCTAGACTAGCCCAATAATAGATTAGTGACTTCAGCTTAGACACACTAAGTAAGTGGTTTTACTATTGGCTTGGTGGATGACTTGATTGTTGTATGAACGATGTGTGCCCTATTACCCTTGCACTTGTCGTGATTTTATGATTGTTTGACGTATGCAATGTTATGTTTATGCTATGACGTCAGATATGATGTGATACAATTATGCTATGCTATAAAATACGTCATGTAAGGGTCATGTAAAGATCATGTTATGTTATCGATACTGAATGATGTATGAACCTCCATACGTCATGTCATATAAGATATGTACTGCATTTGCTCATTGTCTATGAGACATTAGAAAGCCACATAGGTTAATTACGAAAGACATGAGATAAGTGTAATGTCTCATACTTCACGGATGTAAAGTACCAATAAGGTATAATCTTCATTTAGCTTATAATAACCTTAATCCAACCCATGAGAGATCAAAACCAGATACTAAATTCATTGCACAAACACAGTGCACATAAAACAACTGAATCGTACTTTTTAAAAAAAAAAACTCAAATGAACTTTAAACTAAACCAAAATAAAAAAATGAATCGAATGTGAACCAGAGAAAAACAAACAAACATGTATTAAAGAAACTGGCTAAACCAATTTGAAATAAGACCAGACTGAACCAAATCAAATCGAACTGTGATAAGCCAAACCGTAACGAACCAAACTGAATCGAACTAAACGGAAACAACATGAACCATACCAAACTAAACTGATAACCCATGGCCATTTTTCTTCTAGTATGCAATAATTTCAGCGGCGTCCGACCAGTCCTGACAATGGAGATAGAAAAAAGAGTCCACTATAAAACTCATCTGCACAGCTATTCCTTAGAGAAAACTTAAAGAAGGGTCAATTGGAACGATAACTTGTTTGCACCTTTGATTAATTAAATTGAATTTCCTTGGATAAATATGTGGTAGAAAAAACAAAAGAATAATAACAACAAAATACAACGTTTCTCATACGGATGTCAACAATTTTTCGACTAGGAAAGAACAATTTTATTCCTTTTCATTCATTTGGGTAAAAGGAAAGAGGATACAATAATCTAGAAAAAATAGTATAAAAATTAATCTTTTAAATATCATTGATTGGCTTCCATGTGCAGCAAAGGATTAGCAGATTGGAATTGGAGCACCATTCCACTCTTTCAAGCACTCTAACATACAGTCGATTATCTTCCCTTCACACAGAGCTGTGAATACCTTCTCGCACTCTTCTCCTGGAGATATCACTTTTTCTCCGGTCACCAGATTTGTTCCCAATTCTTCTCTCACAAACCTATACAATGGATAAGATCTGCAGTCCTTTATCTGATTCTCAATTTTGGAATTTCCACTTTCGTACGACAACCTTGCATTTTCAACTTCTTTTGGTAACACCGCCTTTAGTTCCTCCTCAAAAGCACCAATCTTTTGGAAGATTGAAGTGTCTGCGTCCTTTTCACAATCACCATTGCCAAGTGCGTGCTCAACAAGGACTTGCCTCAACTTTTGGCTCAATGGGTAAGTGGCACTGCATGGATCATCGATATAAGCAAAGGTGTGCTCTCTGTCCACAACTTTTAGAAGATCTTTCTCACAAAACCTTGATGGGTGAAGCGCTCCATTAGAGGATGTGGTCAACACTTTCTTGGCTGTTTGGCTAACACAGTTTTTCACAGTGTTCTTCAAGTTTTCTTCCAAATGCCTCAAGTCGATTGCTTGGCAGAGGGCAACCAAAAAGGTGGAAGACATGAGTTTTAAAATATCAAGGGCTTCGGCTGTTTTCCTTGAAGAGATTAAACCCAGCGAGTTAACATCTTGGTTGTGTTGCTCGGCGCTCTGTACATGGCTAGTCACTGGATTTGCAAGATATTGAAGCTCAGAGCAATAGGAAGCCATGGCAATCTCAGCACCTTTAAATCCATAATCTAAACTTGGGTTTCTGCTTGCAGAGAGATTTGAAGGCAATCCATTGTTGTAGAAATCATTGACAAGCTCTGAGAATTGAGCAAACATGAGCTTTCCAATTGAAGCAACGGCCAAACGAGTGTTGTCCATGGAGACACCAATTGGAGTTCCTTGGAAGTTGCCTCCATGGATCGCCTTGTTCCTTGAAACATCAATCAAAGGGTTGTCGTTGACTGAGTTAATCTCTCTTTCGATAGATTTTGTTGAGAATCGAATAACTTCAATCAATGGACCAAGCCATTGAGGAGAAGTTCTAAGAGCATAACGATCTTGCTTTGGCTTCTGGAGAGGATCGGTTTCATGCAATTTCTTTGCAGTTTTCATGTAAGAACTTCCATCCAAGATGTGTTCCATAATTGCAGCAGCCTCGATCTGACCAGGATGATGCTTCAATTTGTGAGTCAAATGATCGGTGAATTCAGGCTTTCCTTGCATAACCTCAGCAAAAATGGCTGACAAAATCTCAGACAAAACAGCCAAAATATTGGCCTCAAACAGAACAATCGAAGCCAATCCAGAACCAACAGCAGTGCCATTGACAAGAGCAAGACCTTCTTTAGGCTGCAATTCAAAGAACCCAGAAGGAATGCCAGCTTGTTGAAAAGCCTCCATTGCATCAAGGCTTTCTCCATTTGGTCCAACAGCCTTAGAGTTTGGACGGCCAGTGAGCAATCCAGCAATATAAGAAAGTGGAANTCATGCACGCTCTTGCCTCGATTGCTTGATCTAGGTCTCATCTTAAGTGATGAAAGTGCCATGGACAGGTATAAAAATACTTAGCAAGTAGCTTGCTTGTAGTTTCTTAGTTCGCTCTTAAGTGCCATTGATTTGTTCAATTGTTTGATGTCTTATTTATACTTAGAAGCTCTTTCCTAAGTTATAGACTTTACTAGACTTTTCCTTAGGTTTACTTAGTTCACCTAAGCTCAATTTAAGGTCGTGTTGCGAAACTTCATTCTACTAGTCCCTGTAATCATGATCATCAACCTATATAACACAAGCACTCAACATGCAACCCTGTAATAAACTTCAACCTATAGTTTTCATTATACCGTTATGGACACTATTTTTAGATTTTTTAGTTGAGTTCAGTTGAAATCTCCCAAATAGGCTCCTATAATGTAAACATCACAAGGAGGGAGTGATCCTCAATCTAGGCAATGTTCATCTACCTATGTCCCTTCCTCTCATCTGAAACAAACCACGATTAGGGAGTGGTTGGGGACCTCCTAACCATACCCACAAGGTACTCATAAAGTTTTCATAAGATTCATGTATTACCAGGCTCAAAGCCTAGTTCAACCAACTCAAAAAAGTATTATTGCAAATCTCGGCGGATCGAAGAAAGTTAAATAATAAGAAATCAACTGGCGAACCCTAATAGTCCGCATAGAGTACAATTCAATCATAACCAATTCTAAAATGTTATACCGACGGTAAGTAATTGAGTCGAATTCACGAATAGGGTTTGAAATGAACCTCTTTCAACCCCTAATCGTCCCCTTATAATAACAGAATAATAATATGCATAAACATATCATCAAAAGAGACATAAGATAGTAATCTAAACATGGATATCTAGTCCTGCTTTCAATTTTGAGTCCGTTTCATTATTTTCTTACAAATCGAGCATACATTCAGTAAACATGCTTTTTCATCTGTCAAACTTGATCATGCTTCTTATAACATGCTCCAATACATACTACAAGCATATTTCTATCGAAGTTCTAATATGTTACTTACTTGGTTTGGTCGAAACTTTAATAGTTTGTTCGAGGCCCTAAAGGGATCTAAAATCCTTCAAACTCGTTAAATAGTTCCTATATTAAGAGGAAATATGACTACCATTGAAATCAGGTTGAAAATCGGACTTAAAACACCTGGACTACATAAAAATAGGGTAACTGTATCGAGTGGACTTAGTGAATCAGTCCAACCGTAGACAGGTCGTCTCTAACCTCATATTGATACTCTTGTCTGTAGATGTTGAATTTTTTTTATCGTGTTTTTTTTTTCTTGAAGCGTTGATAGGCTTTGCTTCCTTCATCAAACTTAAATTTCTTTGCCCTCGGTCTAATGGTTTAAGAATCATGAAGTTTCATTAGAAATTGAAGAAGTTAGGGTCGTTTAGAACCACACCAAAGCCCATGAACCATACCTTTGGATTTCCAACTCAATCGTTTCCTACGAGCGTTTTCGACTCTTGATACCTTCAAAGATGTTCAAAGCCGTACGCCCATGAACCACTTTAGTATGAGAAATATGATTTTATTGCAAGAATTTTGAAATTTCAACATAGCATGCAATGTTATATGATGAAAATGTTGTAATTTGAAGGTTACTTCTGTATTATATCCACTACAACGCTATATGGACGTAGAGCATATGTGTTTCATTCTAAAAGAAACCAAATTTATGTTAGGAATAATAGATCTCCGAGCCTCCCCTGAATCGAGGCCCGACTTCTTTTTTTGGAGTCTTCGAACAAAGTACCCCTTTTGTTCGATACTTTAATTACTTTTGACTATACCTTCGAGGCGCACAATACTTTGTTCGACATTTGAGGATTCTATTGACATGGCTATGTTTAGGACATGGTTTTGATACCATGTTAGGAATCACGACTCTCCACAATAGTATGATATTATCCACTTTGAGCATAAGCCCTCATGGCTTTGTTTTGGGCTTCCCCAAAAGGTCTCATACCAATGGAGATGTGTTCTTTTACTTATAAACCCATGATCATTCCCTAAATTAGTCAATGTAGGACTCTATCTCAACAATTTATAGTTTAGGTAAGAGTCTTTCAATCTATTTGCTTGATCTCAATACTGTGAAGGAGGAATGGTCGTTGGGAGAGAAGAGCTTGGTAAGTTCTATCCTTAAGGTTTCCAGTTCAATTTTCATTTCGTTTGATTTGATTTGGGTTAAAACAATAAATACCAAAATTATTTGTTGTTCTACAAAAACTTGGTACAAACTCGTTGTTAAGAGGGGCCAATAATCGATTAAAGTTGGACAAAAGTTGGCTGAAAATAAGGCCAGAAGGAAGGGAAATTGAGAAAAAAATGAATATTGGTAGAAATTAGGCTTCGATTCAAGGCTCAGATTCGAAAATCGAAGCTGGTTTTTGAACCTCAACCTTGGTTGATTGCAAACCCAAACTAGTAGACTACAAACCCTAAACCTCAGCCTTCATAGATTACAAGCCCAAACTGGCACCCGAAGCAGACAGGTTCAGAGTAACCTGCAACTGTTGCGTAGCCTAGTCCAACATCCAAGTCTTCAACCTAGTTCGTACGTCAGCCTAGCCCAATAGTACATGAAGAAAGGGCTTTCTGATTGTAAGATCCTACATTGGTTGGAGAGGAGAACGAAACATTCTTTATAAGTGTGTGGAAACCTCTTCCTATCAGATGCGTTTTAAAAATCTTGAAAAATCTTGAGGGGAAGCCCGAGAGGGAGAGCCCAAAGAGGACAATATCGGCTAATGGTAGGCTTGGACCGTTACAAATAGTATCAGAGCTAGAAACCGTGTGGTAAGCTAGCGACTCTCACTGAGCCCCGAAGGAGGGTGGATTGTGAGATAGCACATCGATTGGAGAGGGGAACGAGTGTCAACGAAGACACTGGGTCCCAAAGGGAGGTGGATTGTGAGATCCCACATCAGTTGGAGAGGGGAACGATGCATTCTTTATAAGGGTGTGGAAACATCCCACGCGTTTTAAAAACCTTGAGGGGAAGCATGAAAGGGAAAGCCCAAAGAAGACAATATTTGCTAGCGTTGGGTTTGAGCCGTTACATTGATTCCCGATCAGAGTCTCGTCTTTATAAACACACATGTACCTCAGCTCACCTCGTGCCCTCCCAAGCTACACACATTCAAACTAGAAGCTTGCCCTCCCAAGCTACACACATTCAAACTAGAAGCTTGCCCTCCCAAGCTACACACATTCAAACTAGAAGCCAGCTCGCGCCCTCCCAAGCTACACACAGCATTGACCCCCTTGGCTTAGACCCAATCCAATCCACTTTATCGACCTGGTCCGACCCACAACCCAAAGTCCATAACCGACTTAGTCCAACCCCACGACCTAAATCCTTAACCGATTCGATCTATACTCGAGCTGACCCACGACCCGGTTTAGCCCAAGACACGATCCATACCTAAATAGGCCTAGGACCATACCCACCAACCCACACCTCGACCTAAGTGTTGGATAATGGAAGTCCCACATCGGCTAATTTAGGGAATGATCATGGGTTTATAAGTGAGAATACTAACTCCATTGGTATCATGCCTTTTGGGGAAGCCCAAAGTAAAGCCATGAGAGCTTATGCTCGAAGTGGACAATATCATACCATTGTGGAGAGTCGTGTTCGTCTAACATGGTATCAGAGCCATGCCCTAAACTTAGTCGTACCAATAGATTGGTAAATCCTCAAATCTTCAAATATCGAACAAAGAACTCCAAAAGAAAAGGAGCTTTAGTAAAAAATGACTAAGACTCCAAAGGAGTCGAGCCTCGATTAAGGGGAGGCGCAATTTGCTCGAGGGGAGGTGTTGGATGATGGAAGTCCCACATCGGCTAATTTAGGGAATGATCATGGGTTTATAAGTGAGGAATACTAACTCCATTAGTATGAGATCTCTTGGGGAAGCCTAAAGCAAAGCCATGAGAGCTTATGCTCAAAGTGGACAATATCATATCATTGTGGAGAATCGTGTTTGTCTAACGCTAAGGACCCCCAGCTGACGCTACACCCTTACATGCGACTTGAGATCTAGCAAGGCCCAACTGACCCTCCCAGTGCATGGCTCTTAGGCTTTGCGGTTTATTCGGCAGCTCCAACGCAATTCCCTCGACTTAGACGGCTTGGATTGAAATCAAGGGACCGTTCCAACCATTTTGGACCATTCCTGAGCCATTTGGATGTTTCCAAAAGCATTTGACATTAATATAACCACTTGGTCAATTAAAGTAATTTTAAGCCAAAAGTAGGTTTAATTAAAATCGTTAGGTGAGTTTATTATGCCTTAACCAGATGTCGTGGGCACACAAAGGTTGAATTGGAATACAAAGGATAGATCCGGACTAGCACATGGATAGATTAGTGACTTCGACTTAGGCTCATTAAGTAAGTGGTTTTACTATTGGCTTGTTGGATGTGAACAATGTGTGCCCTGTGGCCCTTGCACTTGTCGTGATTTTATGATTGTTTAACGTATGCAATGTTATGTTTATGCTATGATGTCAGATATGATGTGATACAATTTATGTTATGATATAAATACGTCATGTAATGATCATGTTATGTTATGGGATTATGTTATGTTATTGATACTGAATGATACATGAACCTCCCTATATCATGGCATGTAAGATATGTACGACATTTGTTCATTATCTATGAGACATTAGAAAGCCACCTATGTTAATTACGAAAGACACAAAGATAAGTGTTATGTATGCATGTCTCATAGGATGTTACATCATGAAAAAAATGGAGGTATGACTTGCATCATACATAAATGATATGAATTGATACTATGGGACTCCATGCATCTTGTATGTCACGTGCATCGAGATGCATAACCATTTATTTGAAAAGTTCCTAATTATTCGGGCAAAGTTGAATCATCCACTAGGATCTCAAGGCATTCTAACAATAAGTTCACTAAAGTATCCAACCAGATATAATCTATATTTACTTATAATAACCTTAATCCACAAACACAGTGCACATAAAACTCCTGAATCGTACTTTAAAAAAAACTCAAATGAACTTTAAACTAAACCAAACATGAACCAGAGAAAAACAAACATGTATTGAAGAAACTCGCTCAACCATGTTGAAATAAGACCAGACTGAACCAAATCAAATTGACCATATCGGACCACCTGAATTGAGCTAGACGGAGTCAACATGAACCATAACACATGGCCGTTTTTCTTCTAGTGAGCAATAATTTCAGTGGCGTCCGAACAGTCCTGAGAGTGGAGATAGAAAAAGAGACCATTATAAAACTCATGTGTACAACTATTCCTTAGAGAAAACGCAAGTTTTAGAGGAAGGGTCAATTAGAACAATGACTTGTTTGCTGACCTTACATTAATTAAATTGAATTTCATAGGATAAATATGGTAGAAAAAATAAAATACAACGTTTATCATACGGATGTCAACAATTTATGGACTAGGAAAGAACAATTTTATTCCTTTTCATTCATTTGGGTAAAAAGAAATAGGATACAATAAGCGAGAAAAAAATGTTATACAAATTAATCTTTAAGTATCTTCATCAATTTTGAACGGAGAATTGGCTTCCATGTGCAGCAAGAGATTAGCAGATGGGAATTGGAGCACCGTTCCACTCTTTCAAGCACTCCAAGATAGAGTCGATCATCTTCCCTTCACACAGAGCTGTGAACACCTTTTCGCACTCTTCTCCTGGAGATATCACTTTTTCTCCTGTCACCAGATTTGTTCCCAATTCTTCTCTCACAAACCTATACAATGGATAAGATCTGCAGTCCTTTATCTGATTCTCAATTTTGGAATTTCCACTTTCGTACGACAACCTTGCATTTTCAACTTCTTTTGGTAACACCGCCTTTAGTTCCTCCTCAAAAGCACCAATCTTTTGGAAGATTGAAGTGTCTGCGTCCTTTTCACAATCACCATTGCCAAGTGCGTGCTCAACAAGGACTTGCCTCAACTTTTGGCTCAATGGGTAAGTGGCACTGCATGGATCATCGATATAAGCAAAGGTGTGCTCTCTGTCCACAACTTTTAGAAGATCTTTCTCACAAAACCTTGATGGGTGAAGCGCTCCATTAGAGGATGTGGTCAACACTTTCTTGGCTGTTTGGCTAACACAGTTTTTCACAGTGTTCTTCAAGTTTTCTTCCAAATGCCTCAAGTCGATTGCTTGGCAGAGGGCAACCAAAAAGGTGGAAGACATGAGTTTTAAAATATCAAGGGCTTCGGCTGTTTTCCTTGAAGAGATTAAACCCAGCGAGTTAACATCTTGGTTGTGTTGCTCGGCGCTCTGTACATGGCTAGTCACTGGATTTGCAAGATATTGAAGCTCAGAGCAATAGGAAGCCATGGCAATCTCAGCACCTTTAAATCCATAATCTAAACTTGGGTTTCTGCTTGCAGAGAGATTTGAAGGCAATCCATTGTTGTAGAAATCATTGACAAGCTCTGAGAATTGAGCAAACATGAGCTTTCCAATTGAAGCAACGGCCAAACGAGTGTTGTCCATGGAGACACCAATTGGAGTTCCTTGGAAGTTGCCTCCATGGATCGCCTTGTTCCTTGAAACATCAATCAAAGGGTTGTCGTTGACTGAGTTAATCTCTCTTTCGATAGATTTTGTTGAGAATCGAATGACTTCGATCAATGGACCAAGCCATTGAGGAGAAGTTCTAAGAGCATAACGATCTTGCTTTGGCTTCTGGAGAGGATCGGTTTCATGCAATTTCTTTGCAGCTTTCATGTAAGAACTTCCATCCAGGATGTGTTCCATAATTGCAGCAGCCTCGATCTGACCAGGATGATGCTTCAACTTGTGTGTCAAATGATCGGTGAATTCAGGCTTTCCTTGCATAACCTCAGCAAAAATGGCTGACAAAATCTCCGACAAAACAGCCAAAATATTGGCCTCAAACAGAACAATCGATGCCAATCCAGAACCAACAGCAGTGCCATTGACAAGAGCAAGACCTTCTTTAGGCTGCAATTCAAAGAACCCAGAAGGAATGCCAGCTTGTTGAAAAGCCTCCTTTGCATCAAGGCTTTCTCCATTTTGTCCAACAGCCTTAGAGTTTGGTCGGCCAGTGAGCAATCCAGCAATATAAGAAAGTGGAACAAGATCACCCGAAGCAGTAATGGTTCCACGAAGAGGCAAGCAGGGAGTGATGTTACTATTTAAAAGTTTGGTTATGGCTTCCAAAATCTCAAATCTGATACCCGAGTAGCCTTGAAGAAGAGTGTTGATTCTCACCAACATAGCCGCCCTGGTAGCGGAGTGGGGCAGAGTATGGGTGGACTCAGCTCCACTTCCAAAGATCCCAGCATTCAAGAATCGAATCAACTCCTTCTGAAGAGCTCCACCTTGATTGGTCCTTCTATGAGAGGTAGCACCAAAGCCAGTAGTAACACCGTAACTATCAGTGCCTTTGTTCATGCTCTCCATAACCCAATCACTGCTAGCTTTAACGCCAGCTCTAGCAGACTCAGCCAACTGGACCAGCACATCATTATCACGAGTGGCAATGGCGGCCACTTGGGAAATGGTGAGAGTCTCACCGCCAAGCTTGACAAGGGGCCTCCGGTACTCCTCCACCATGCGCTTGACCTCATCGAGATGGCTTCCCTTGAGAGCGTCGGCAGCCACACCCCAGTTAAGTGGATCGTTGCGGGTAATGCAGAAGGTCTCCACCGAACCATTTTGGGCGGCAAGTTGTTGGAAGGGAGCTGGGGCCATTTGTATAGCAAAATAAAAGATGAAGAGTAGAGAGTGTTAGAGAGGAAGTAAGAATGTGAGTTGGGTTTAGAATTAGAATTGATATCTGAGTTGTGGAGAAAGATGGGGAAAAATGGTTATATAGAGAAAGCTTTGTGCAACAACCGCGCAACGGGGGCTGCGTTAGGTAAAGGTAAGAAAGAGGCGAGCGAGAAAGGAAGAAGAGCTCCGAAGGTTGGTGGAAATGGTTGAAATAAGAAATGTAGTGAAAATTTGAATGGTCAAAGTTTGTAGGCCTTGGTGCTTGTGTTCGGTTGTTGTGTATGGATTTCTTGACTCCACTTAAATGGATGTCTGACTAATATTATAACAATGATTAGTTTTATTATTATTATTAATTCATTATTTCATTAGGTGGTTATTTATTATATAATTTAATTTAATATCCCACTACTTACTCATTATTAATTCATTTTGCTATACATAATAGCTTCTTCCCGTTTTTTATTATTATTATTATTTATCTTCATGGTCAAATGTATGGCTAAAGTCAAGTATTTTTCTTTTTTTAAAATGTTGAACTATTCTGACATCGAGTCTAAAGTCTAACTATTCTGACATCAAATGTATGGCTAAGTCACATTGTTTTGAAAAGTTCATGTACGCTCTCGCCTCGATGGCTCGATTTAGGCCTCATCTTAAATGATTAAAGTGTCATGGACAAGTATAAAAATACTTAGTAAGTAGCTTGCTGGTAGTTTCTTAAGTCTTATCTCATTGATTTGTTCATTCGTTCGATGTCTCATTTATACTTAGAACCCCATTCCTAAGTTATAGACTTTATTAAGCTTTTCCCTATGTTTACTTAGTTCACCTAAGTTCGATATAAGGTCATATTGTGTAACTCGTAAATTCTCCTTTTCTTCTCCCACTATGGGTCGACAGTTCTCTTTGCTCATTCTTGGAGTTTTTAAGATATCTTGTTTAGTCATTCTACTAGTCCCTTTAATTGTCATCAACCTATATAACATAGGCAGTCAAGGCGAACCCTATAATAGGTTCCAACCTATAGTTCTCATTATACTGTTATGGACACTATTATTAAATTCTCTAGTCAGGTTAGTTGAATCTCCCGAATAGGCCCCTATAATGTAAACGTCATAACAAATGTTCATCTACCTATGTTGTCCCTTACTCTCATTCGTAACAAATCACGATTAGGGAGTGGTTGGGGACCTCCTAACCATACCCACAAGGTACTCATAAAGTTCTCATAATATTCATGCATTATAGGGCTCAAGCTTAGTTCTATCAACTCAAAAAGTACTACCGCAGACCCCAGTTGATCGAAGCAAGTTAAATAATAAGAAATTAATTGGCGAACCTCTAGTAGTCCGCACGTAGTACAATTCAATCATAACCAATTCTAAAATGTTATGCGGGCTATCAATCATTGAGTTGAGTTTACAATTAGAGGTTGAAATGAACCTCTTTCAACCCCTAGTTTGTCCCCTTATAATAACACAATAATAATATGCATAAACATATCAAAAGAGACATAATATAATAATTATGAATATCTTGTAACACCGAAAAAAATAATAAAAATAAATCAGCCCAAGCCCATGGAGGGGCAAATGTGTCATTTTGCCATCCACCTACTATAGGGGTCCAAGTGGAACCCTAATAGAGGCCACCAAAAAGAAAGGGAAGACTAGGAGAGGGTTTGGGAGAATCGAGGAGCAGTCGCAAAGACTTCGTCCAGAGTCGAGGTGAGTTCTTGAATGTTTTCCAGATCCGAGACTAACCTTTATGAATCGGGACCTAATGTTTGAATACGTTCATCTAGGGAAGTTGACTTCGTGAAGAAACTTGGCAGAAATCTGGGAATTATCTGAGAACGGTAGGCGAACTTCTGTAGCTCAAATCTCGTTCTATGTTGAGGCTAAAATCACGAAAAAAAATACCAAGATGTAGCCCTCAACACGATCTAGAACTTTGCCGAAGGAACCATATCGATCCGAGCTCTGGGTCAAAAGATATGAAAATTGGAAAACGGTAGATTGGAAAAGGGCTATGGATTGCCGGAGAGAGAGAAAAGGAAAAAAAAAAAAAAGAAGAGGCGCCAGGTGGTGAAGCACGGTTTCACAACCATACTACGAAGAGAGTAGGTTGTGACCCTCACGCTATGACAAGCAAAGTGGCGTCCCTCAAGAGACGCCCATCCGGCCACATACGGGCCAATATAGAAGAGTGCCATGATGCGATCGAGGAGAACGATGCATCATCCAACACACCACCACGCAAAGTGGGCATTGAAGACAAGTTGAGACATAAGCAAGAGAGAGACATCAGAATAGACATGAAGGACAAAGATAGGCATGTTGAAGGGTAGGGCCCCGGGCCTTAACCTCAAAAGTCGGGGTTTCAGAAGGAATTTGGGCATGCAGTTTGGGAGTTAAGTCCGTCCATATGAAATATGAATGCTCGCTAAGTTTGGTGTCAATCGGACACCAGATGGACAATGCACGACACCGTATGACCACTCACCAAAATCATGTCTACTACTGGTAGAATAAAAATGGCTCAAAATGTACTGCAGGGGTACCATGGTGTTAGCTCTCCACCACCCCTAGGCCATGTGGCTTAAGTGAGCTACCTTGTGGCACATACGTGTGTCATAGTGTGGGCGACCTCCTTTGAAATGGGTTTTTGAAGGACAGTACCGGATGGCACGGGTGTGTCGGTATTGCGCCCTAGCCCGCGTGTTGGAGGTTGTTACAACACCCGCTATCCAGTACGGTATCCGTAAATGACTCGGCATGGGCATGGGAGAGCCTAAACCTCGATAGAACCCGGATGGATGGATGTTCGGGAAGCCTTGATGAGATGAACGACACGCGGGCCCATTCTCGATGGCATGATCGAACGAGTTATGATGGCCGACGACATCCCGAGTCTCGAGACACCAGACGGACAATGCACGACACCGTATGACCACTCACCAAAATCATGTCTACTACTGGTAGAATGAAAATGGCTCAAAATGTACTGCAGGGGTACCATGGTGTTAGCTCTCCACCACCCCTAGGCCATGTGGCTTAAGTGAGCTACCTTGTGGCACATACGTGTGTCATAGTGTGGGCGAGCGTGCCGAGACGAGTGTCTCGGGCGACTTCCTTTGAAATGGATTTTTGAAGGACAGTACCGGATGGCACGGGTGTGTCGGTATTGCGCCCTAGCCCGCGTGTTGGAGGTTGTTACAACACCCGCTATCCAGTACGGTATCCGTAAATGACTCGGCATGGGCATGGGAGAGCCTAAACCTCGATAGAACCCGGATGGATGGATGTTCGGGAAGCCTTGATGAGATGAACGACACGCGGGCCCATTCTCGATGGCATGATCGAACGAGTTATGATGGCCGACGACATCCCGAGTCTCGAGACACCAGACGGACAATGCACGACACCGTATGACCACTCACCAAAATCATGTCTACTACTGGTAGAATAAAAATGGCTCAAAATGTACTGCAGGGGTACCATGGTGTTAGCTCTCCACCACCCCTAGGCCATGTGGCTTAAGTGAGCTACCTTGTGGCACATACGTGTGTCATAGTGTGGGCGACCTCCTTTGAAATGGGTTTTTGAAGGACAGTACCGGATGGCACGGGTGTGTCGGTATTGCGCCCTAGCCCGCGTGTTGGAGGTTGTTACAACACCCGCTATCCAGTACGGTATCCGTAAATGACTCGGCATGGGCATGGGAGAGCCTAAACCTCGATAGAACCCGGATGGATGGATGTTCGGGAAGCCTTGATGAGATGAACGACACGCGGGCCCATTCTCGATGGCATGATCGAACGAGTTATGATGGCCGACGACATCCCGAGTCTCGAGACACCAGACGGACAATGCACGACACCGTATGACCACTCACCAAAATCATGTCTACTACTGGTAGAATGAAAATGGCTCAAAATGTACTGCAGGGGTACCATGGTGTTAGCTCTCCACCACCCCTAGGCCATGTGGCTTAAGTGAGCTACCTTGTGGCACATACGTGTGTCATAGTGTGGGCGAGCGTGCCGAGACCATGTGGCTTAAGTGAGCTACCTTGTGGCACATACGTGTGTCATAGTGTGGGCGAGCGTGCCGAGACGAGTGTCTCGGGCGACTTCCTTTGAAATGGATTTTTGAAGGACAGTACCGGACGGCACGGGTGTGCCGGTATTGCGCCCTAGCCCGCGTGTTGGAGGTTGTTACATACACCCGCTATCCCGTACGGTATTCGTAAATGACTCGACATGGGCATGGGAGGGCCTAAACCTCGATAGAACCCGGATGGATGGATGTTCGGGAAGCCCTGATGAGATGAACGACACGCGGGCCCATTCTCGATGGCATGATCGAACGAGTTATGATGGCCGACGACATCTCGAGTCTCGGGATGGCGTCAAGACATATGGACCCTGTCGATGGGGGTCGAGATGACAAGATGAGATGCGACGTTGCATTGAGAGACCTTGGCCTGAGCAGAGCCAAGGTCGAGTCGAATGACTTGGCCTAGCCTAGAGGCAAGTCAGATGTGTCGCAGACGATTGAACATGCATGCGCAGGCGGCGTGTGTGGTTGAACAAGCTTGGATTCCGCACAAGTGATATTCGATTGGCGAAGACAAACCTCGCTTAAGGTCTGAGGAAGCCACAAAACCAGGGCGAAAAAGATATATAGGGCTTAATTCCCTTCAAGGCTAGTCGTGAGCGTGTCAAGATCACGATGCCGCACGGTAAAAAATGTAGGACCGTGACACGCAGCTCGGCAGGCGGCGACACGTGTCGAGCGTCGGCTAGAGGGAAGCAGCTCCAGCGGAACGATGATGCGTGTCACCCACAGAAACCAGGCCGAACCGCAGCGAACCGGACCGCTAGCCGAACCGACCCGACCTGTGACTGTGTGAAGTAGTTCGCGCGTGGTTGTCGCCTGTGCAGCATGCATTTGGTGTCCTTTCCCGCACGTGGTCGGCGTGTGAGGGCGTGTGAGAGGCTCATTTTTCGTTCGTTTACCTTCTGTTTGTCTCGATTCCTATTTTAATAATATTTTATGTAAAAATAGGGACCTAATCGAGGATAATCAATGTTTTTGGACACCCTACGAGCATAGAGACGCTAGCACAAGGACACACGTTAACTAGGTAAGTCACCACTCGGTATTTAGGAAGAAATACTTGTAGGATTCGCTTGGATTGCATGCATGTTAGTATATTTGCCTTAGATTAGCTTTCCATGAATGAGATTAGGCAAGTCGATGGTTACGGGCGTATTGGGAGAATTACTTGGGTGTTGCTTGTATGTTTAAGCTCCCGCTATACGGATGCACATGCTTAATTCATGTTGAATAGACTCTGCGTTTTGGACACTTGAGGAATGACATCACCCTGTTGAGCACAAACTCGGCTTTTCGGGTTCCTGATGGGGGCCATCGCCCCGTTGAGTTTGCATGTCTAATTTGCATGAATTATGTGTGATGATGTTAGATGGCGGTTACATGCACACTATGTTATTTTCCACATTTGCCTTAGATTAGCTCTCCATGAATGAGACTAAGTAGATCGATTGTTATGAGCGTATTTGATAACTCTAAAAGTAGAGTCATATAAAGTCTTTTGTAGTTAATATTGCACTCTTATTCACCATTTTCTCATTTATTACCCCATTTATTCTACTTAGTGAGCATGAAATCGTTTGTCGCGGTTCAACATGAAAAAAAAATATGATTTGACATAAATCGATCTTAATTGTACATTTAATTAAGTTATGTGGTAAAATTTCAGACATTTATGCTGAACCATGACGGAGTAGCAAATTTGGAAACAAATGGGGGATGACATGAAAATTTTAAATCCATATCAGCAATACAAGTGGGTCATTGACTACCGCATGAGGAACATCCTATGTGAACAACTTATTCATTTTCAGCCCTAAAGGAAAACCCATGCTCAATATAAAAGGAAAAGGAAGACCAGGAGGGTGACACGCTTTAGGAGAAAAAAAATCGGATTAGACAACAGTGCCTCTGCTGCTGTGAACTGTTGTAAAACCAGAGAAGAAGAAAAACCTTAATGCAGCAGCTGTTGAGAGCAGAAGGAAGAGAAGACCAAGAAGGATAGATTAGGACAACGAGGTGGACGTGAAGAGTTCAAGGGAAGGGAACTTCCATTGAAGAACGGCAACAAAGTTGGATAACTCTCTATTTCCTTACTCTCTTTTCTTATTCTATCAATTTTATATGATTAAGATGTGAGTTCCTCTATTTAATTCAGTTTGCATGGAGAGCTAATCTTTATAGGGGAGGCGAGAGAGTTTTATATAGTTTAAGTATGTTGACACTGTGATTTTAGTTTATTAAAGAGTTGTTAATGATTTACATGTGTTTAATTAGCTACTTTACATACATAGTTGTTCTTTTATTCGGGAGAGAGAGGGAGCAATGAAATCTAGTTCCATAGCAAGGAGACTTGAATGGTAATAGAAAGGCTAGGAATAATTCTTCCCCGAGAGCCTTATTAATAAAAATTACAACAATTATGTAAATAATCACCATTCATGACCCTTAGGAGTGGGCTTGAGAATCTATTAAAAGGAACAAAAATCTACCACAAAACTCAACAACTTATACATTGAATCTCTTAGTCGAACCTTCCTCATTATAGTTGATTTTCTCATCATTTTCTGTTTTTCGACGCAGTGACATTCTGTTTTAGTTTTGTTTAAGTAGTTAAAATCACCGACACCCATTTGAATGTTACCCAAAAACTCACTTAATTTCCAGCGATAAAATTAACCAAAAGTATAGGTTTCTTGTAGAATCGATAATTTACTTATTACTTACTACTTGTGATAGTGTATACTTGTACTCATTCTTGTGAATTTTACATCATTTTATTATATATATCCACAAGCTATCAAGTTTTTGGCGCCGTTGCCGGGAACTTAATTTTGTTATTTTACTTGTTGTAGATTTTCGTGAATTTGAACAAAAAAGAAGTCATAGTAAGCTAAATTTTTTACTGCAGAATTGAGCTTACTGCGGCAGAATTCTGTGTGTGAACCCACCTACGGGTTTGAAATTTATTTTTGATCCTGAAATAGAGAAAACCTTTAAACGATAGTTGAGAGAGAAAAAGAAAATGACAGAACATAATATACATCAAATGGCCTAACTGAATAGTGAGTTTGAAAATTCAGTGATGATGGCTAATCAAGAGAGAATTACTATTAATGCCATTCATTTAGCAGATGACAGAGAAAGAGTAATCTGAGCATATGCACACACACCCAACTGTGGAAGAGTTAAATCCGTGCATTATTAGACCCAAAATGAAAGCGTTTTCGACAGACACTGAATTTCTCTTACAGACACTCCTGTCCACAGATGCTGAATTTCTTTTATCGTGTTCTTTGATAGGCTTTGCTTCCTTCATCAAACTTAAATTTCTTCCCCCTCAATCTAATGGTTTAAGAATCATGAAGTTTCATTAAAAATCGAAGAAGTTACGGATGATTCGAAGCCACACCAAAATTCATGAACAGTACCTTTGGATCTTCAACTCAATCGCTTCTAAGCGTTTTCGACTCTCAATATCTTGAAAGAGGTTCAAAGCCACACCAAAGACCATGAACCACTATAGTATATAGTATGAGCTACATGATTTTATTCCAAGAATTTTGAAATTTAACCACTCCCCACTTATCCTCTTCCCAGAAGTTACTCCCTAACAAACTTCCCTCTCTCTCATTCTCTTAGTTTAGGTCAGTCCGCGTAAATAGATTCATCAAATTCCCTCTCAGACAGAAACGCCATTCGACCATCTGCAAGGCTTTCAATCTATTTGCCTCATCTCAATACTGTGAAGGAGGAATGGTCGTTGGGAGAGAACAGCTTGGTAAGTCCTATCCTTACAGTTTTCTTTTTGTCATTTTGTCAGAACTCATCAATTTTCGTTTCGTTTGATTTGATTTGGGTTGCTGAAAAATAAATACCAAAATTATGTGTTGTTCTAGAAAAAGTTGGTACAAACTGGTTAAAAGGGGCCAATAATCGATTAAAGTTGGACAAAAGCTGGCTGGAAATAAGGCCATAAGGAAGAGAGATTGAGGAAAAGAAGAATCTAGATACAAATTAGGGTTTGATCCAAGGCTCAGGTTCGAAAGTCGAAGCTGGTTTTTGAACCTCAACCTTGGTAGATTACAAACCCTAAACCTCAGCCTTCATAGATTACAAACCCAAACCGGCACTCGAAACAGGTTCGAAGGAACCTGCAACAACCGCGTAGCCCAGTCCAACATCCAAGTCTTCAGCCTAGTTCGTAGGTTAGTCCAGCCCAATCCAATAGTACAGGGCTTTTTGATTGTGACATCCCACCCACATCGGTTGGTGAGGGGAACTAAACATTATTTACAAGGGTGTGAAAACCTCTCCCTAACTGACTCGTTTTAAAAACCTTGAGAGGAAGCTTGAAAGGGAAAGCCCAAAGAGGACAATATCTGCTAGCGGTGGGCTTGGGCCGTTACAAATGGTATAAGAACCAGACACCAGGCGATGTGCCAGCAAGGACGTTGAGCCCTAAAGGGGCTTGGATTGTGAGATACAACATCGATTGGAGAGGGGAACGAGTGGCAACAAAGACACTGGGCCCGAAGGGGGTGGATTGTGAGATCTCACATCAGTTGGAGAGAGGAACAATGCATTCTTTATAAGGGTGTGAAAACCTCTCCCTAGCAAACGCATTTGACACTAGTATGATCACTGTCTGGTCAATAAAGTAATTTTTAGCCAAAAGTAGGTTTTCGTTTATTATGCCTTAACTCGATATCGTGGGCACATGAAGGTTGAATTGGTTTACAAAGGATAGATCTAGACTAGCCCAATAATAGATTAGTGACTTCAGCTTAGACACACTAATTAAGTGGTTTTACTATTGGCTTGGTGGATGACTTGATTGTTGTATGAACGATGTGTGCCCTATTACCCTTGCACTTGTCGTGATTTTATGATTGTTTGACGTATGCAATGTTATGTTTATGCTATGACGTCAGATATGATGTGATACAATTATGCTATGCTATAAAATACGTCATGTAAGGGTCATGTAAAGATCATGTTATGTTATCGATACTGAATGATGTATGAACCTCCATACGTCATGTCATATAAGATATGTACTGCATTTGCTCATTGTCTATGAGACATTAGAAAGCCACATAGGTTAATTACGAAAGACATGAGATAAGTGTAATGTCTCATACTTCACGGATGTAAAGTACCAATAAGGTATAATCTTCATTTAGCTTATAATAACCTTAATCCAACCCATGAGAGATCAAAACCAGATACTAAATTCATTGCACAAACACAGTGCACATAAAACAACTGAATCGTACTTTTTTAAAAAAAAAACTCAAATGAACTTTAAACTAAACCAAAATAAAAAAAAGAATCGAATGTGAACCAGAGAAAAACAAACAAACATGTATTAAGGAAACTGGCTAAACCAATTTGAAATAAGACCAGACTGAACCAAATCAAATCGAACTGTGATAAGCCAAACCGTAACGAACCAAACTGAATCGAACTAAACGGAATCAACATGAACCATACCAGACTAAACTGATAACCCATGGCCATTTTTCTTCTAGTATGCAATAATTTCAGCGGCGTCCGACCAGTCCTGACAATGGAGATAGAAAAAAGAGTCCACTACAAAACTCATCTGCACAGCTATTCCTTAGAGAAAACTTAAAGAAGGGTCAATTGGAACAATGACCTTTGATTAATTAAATTGAATTTCCTTGGATAAATATGTGGTAGAAAAAACAAAAGAATAATAACAACAAAATACAACGTTTCTCATACGGATATCAACAATTTTTGGACTAGGAAAGAACAATTTTATTCCTTTTCATTCATTTGGGTAAAAGGAAAGAGGATACAATAATCTAGAAAAAATAGTATAAAAATTAATCTTTTAAATATCATTGATTGGCTTCCATGTGCAGCAAGAGATTAGCAGATGGGAATTGGAGCACCGTTCCACTCTTTCAAGCACTCCAAGATAGAGTCGATCATCTTCCCTTCACACAGAGCTGTGAACACCTTTTCGCACTCTTCTCCTGGAGATATCACTTTTTCTCCTGTCACCAGATTTGTTCCCAATTCTTCTCTCACAAACCTATACAATGGATAAGATCTGCAGTCCTTTATCTGATTCTCAATTTTGGAATTTCCACTTTCGTACGACAACCTTGCATTTTCAACTTCTTTTGGTAACACCGCCTTTAGTTCCTCCTCAAAAGCACCAATCTTTTGGAAGATTGAAGTGTCTGCGTCCTTTTCACAATCACCATTGCCAAGTGCGTGCTCAACAAGGACTTGCCTCAACTTTTGGCTCAATGGGTAAGTGGCACTGCATGGATCATCGATATAAGCAAAGGTGTGCTCTCTGTCCACAACTTTTAGAAGATCTTTCTCACAAAACCTTGATGGGTGAAGCGCTCCATTAGAGGATGTGGTCAACACTTTCTTGGCTGTTTGGCTAACACAGTTTTTCACAGTGTTCTTCAAGTTTTCTTCCAAATGCCTCAAGTCGATTGCTTGGCAGAGGGCAACCAAAAAGGTGGAAGACATGAGTTTTAAAATATCAAGGGCTTCGGCTGTTTTCCTTGAAGAGATTAAACCCAGCGAGTTAACATCTTGGTTGTGTTGCTCGGCGCTCTGTACATGGCTAGTCACTGGATTTGCAAGATATTGAAGCTCAGAGCAATAGGAAGCCATGGCAATCTCAGCACCTTTAAATCCATAATCTAAACTTGGGTTTCTGCTTGCAGAGAGATTTGAAGGCAATCCATTGTTGTAGAAATCATTGACAAGCTCTGAGAATTGAGCAAACATGAGCTTTCCAATTGAAGCAACGGCCAAACGAGTGTTGTCCATGGAGACACCAATTGGAGTTCCTTGGAAGTTGCCTCCATGGATCGCCTTGTTCCTTGAAACATCAATCAAAGGGTTGTCGTTGACTGAGTTAATCTCTCTTTCGATAGATTTTGTTGAGAATCGAATGACTTCGATCAATGGACCAAGCCATTGAGGAGAAGTTCTAAGAGCATAACGATCTTGCTTTGGCTTCTGGAGAGGATCGGTTTCATGCAATTTCTTTGCAGCTTTCATGTAAGAACTTCCATCCAGGATGTGTTCCATAATTGCAGCAGCCTCGATCTGACCAGGATGATGCTTCAACTTGTGTGTCAAATGATCGGTGAATTCAGGCTTTCCTTGCATAACCTCAGCAAAAATGGCTGACAAAATCTCCGACAAAACAGCCAAAATATTGGCCTCAAACAGAACAATCGAAGCCAATCCAGAACCAACAGCAGTGCCATTGACAAGAGCAAGACCTTCTTTAGGCTGCAATTCAAAGAACCCAGAAGGAATGCCAGCTTGTTGAAAAGCCTCCATTGCATCAAGGCTTTCTCCATTTGGTCCAACAGCCTTAGAGTTTGGTCGGCCAGTGAGCAATCCAGCAATATAAGAAAGTGGAACAAGATCACCCGAAGCAGTAATGGTTCCACGAAGAGGCAAGCAGGGAGTGATGTTAGTATTCAAGAGTTTGGTTATGGCTTCCAAAATCTCAAATCTGATACCCGAGTAGCCTTGAAGAAGAGTGTTGATTCTCACCAACATAGCCGCCCTGGTAGCGGAGTGGGGCAGAGTATGGGTGGACTCAGCTCCACTTCCAAAGATCCCAGCATTCAAGAATCGAATCAACTCCTTCTGAAGAGCTCCACCTTGATTGGTCCTTCTATGAGAGGTAGCACCAAAGCCAGTAGTAACACCGTAACTATCAGTGCCTTTGTTCATGCTCTCCATAACCCAATCACTGCTAGCTTTAACGCCAGCTCTAGCAGACTCAGCCAACTGGACCAGCACATCATTATCACGGGTGGCAATGGCAGCCACTTGGGAAATGGTGAGAGTCTCACCGCCAAGCTTGACAAGGGGCCTCCGGTACTCCTCCACCATGCGCTTGACCTCATCGAGATGGCTTCCCTTGAGAGCGTCGGCAGCCACACCCCAGTTGAGTGGATCGTTGCGGGTAATGCAGAAGGTCTCCACCGAACCATTTTGGGCGGCAAGTTGTTGGAAGGGAGCTGGGGCCATTTGTATAGGAAAATGAAAGATGAAGAGTAGAGTGTTAGAGAGGAAGTAAGAATGTGAGTTGGGTTTAGATTTAGAATTGATTTCTGAGTTGTGGAGAGTGATGGAAAAAAGTGGTTATATAGAGACAGCTTTGTGTAACGACCGCGCAATGGGGGCTGTGGTAGGTAAAGGTAAGGAGGCGAACGAGGAAGGAAGAAAGAGTTCCGAAGGTTGGTGGAAATGGTTGACATAAGAAATGTAGTGAATATTTGAATGGTCAAAGTTTGTAGGGGTTGGTGGTTATGTATGGATTACTTGACTCCCCACTTTTACCAAATGAAAAAGCAATATCTGTGGAGGTGAAGAATGATTGGAAGCGCCATGTTTGAACACACGTCAATAAGCTTAATAAATCCATCCTATAAAATATTATAAATTGGAAGTAAAGTAGATGGCGGCTTTAAAGAATAAATTTCACGTGAGAAGGGGCTGATCAACTTAAATGAATGCTGACCAGTTTTATATGAATCATTAGCTTTCTCATTTACTAATTCATTATTTCATTTTTTGATATAATTTAATCTCCCATTACTCACTCATTTTGCTAATGCTTTCCGCCCGTCTTTTTTTATCATTACTAATTCTTCTTATTTTCATGGTCAAATGTATGGCTAATGTCTAACGTTTTTTTTTTTTTTTTTTTAAATGTTCATGTATTCTGACATGGAGATGGATTATGGACTTACAAGATGGTAATCAATGTCTTGTTTTGAAAGTTATACTCGAAATTGAGGTGACAGTGCTAAGCAATGCAACTAAGATGCTAGTTCTCCTTGTTTTGAAAGCTCATGCACGCTCTTGCCTCGATTGCTTGATCTAGGTCTCATCTTAAGTGATGAAAGTGCCATGGACAAGTATAAAAATACTTAGCAAGTAGCTTGCTTGTAGTTTCTTAGTTCGCTCTTAAGTCTTATCTCATTGATTTGTTCGTTCGTTTGATGTCTCATTTATACTCAGAAGCCCAATCCTAAGTTAAAGACTTAACTAGACTTTTCCTTAGGTTTACTTAGTTCACCTGAGCTCAATTTAAGGTCATGTTGTGAAACTCATTAAATTCTCTTTTTCTTAGCCCTATATGGGTCGACAGTTCTCTTAGTTCATTCTTGGAGTTCTAAAATATCTTGTTTAGTCATTCTACTAGTCCCGGTAATCATGATCATCAACCTATATAACACAAGCACTCAACATGCAACCCTATAATAGGCTTCAACCTAGCCTATAGTTTTCATTATACTGTTATGGACACTGTTCTTAGATTTTTTAGTTGAGTTCAGTTGAAATCTCCCAAATAGGCTCCTATACGGTAAACATCGTAAGGAGGGAGTGACCCTCAATCTAGCCAATTTTCATCTACCTGTATCCCTTCCTCTCATCTGAAAGAAACCACAATTAGGGAGTGGTTGGGAACCTCCTAACCATACCCACAAGGTACTCATAAAGTTGTCATAAGATTCATGTATTACCAGGCTCAAAGCCTAGTTCAACCAATTCAAAAAATTATTATTGCAAATCTCGACAGATCGAAGAAAGTTAAATAATAAGAAATCAACTTGCGAACCCTAATAGTCCGCATAGAGTACAATTCAATCATAACCAATTCTAAAATGTTATATCGACTATAAATAATTGAGTCGAGTTCACGATTAGAGTTTGAAATGAACCTCTTTCAACCCCAAATCGTCCCCTTATAATAACACAATAATAATATGCATAAACATATCATCAAAAGAGACATAAGGCAATAATCTAAACATGGATATCTCGTCCTGCTTTCAATTTTATGTCTGTTTCATTATTTTCTTACAAATCGAGCATACATTCAATAAACATGCTTTTTCATCCGTCAAACTTGATCATGCTTCTTATAACATGCTCCAATACATACTACAAGCATATTTCTATCGAAGTTCTAATGTGTTACTTGGTTTGGTCGAAACTTTAATAGTTGGTTCGAGACCCTAAAGAGATCCAAAATCATTCAAACTAGTTAAATAGGTCCTACATTAAGAGGAAATATGACTACCATTGAAATCAGGTTGAAAATCAGACTTAAAACACCTCGACTACATAAAAATAGGGTAACTATATCGATTGGACTGAGTGAATCAGTCCAACTGTAGATAGGTTGTCCCTAACTTCATACAGACACTCCTGTCCGTAGATGTTGAATTTTTTTTATCGTGTTTTTTCTCTTGAGGCGTTGATAGGCTTTGCTTCCTTCATCAAACTTAAATTTCTTTACCCTCAATCTAATCAAACTTAAATTTCTTTGCCCTCAATCTAATGGTTTAAGAATCATGAAGTTTCATTAGAAATTGAAGAAGTTATGGTCGTTTATGGTCGTTTAGAGCCACACCATAGCCCATGAAACATACCTTTGGATTTCCAATTCAATCGTTTCCTACGAGCATTCTCAACTCTTGATACCGTCAAAGATGTTCAAAGCCGTACGCCCATGAACCACTTTAGCATGAGAAATATGTTTTTTATTGCAAGAATTTTGAAATTTCAACATAGCATGCAATGTTATATGATGAAAATGTTGTAATTTGAAGGTTACTTTTGTATTATATCCACTACAACGCTATATGGACGTGGAGCATATGTGTTTCATTCTAAAAGAAACCAAATTTATGTTAGGAATAACGGATCTCTACAATGGTATGATATTTTTCCACTTTGAGCATAAGTTCTCCTCCCCTGAGGAAGGGAGTCTTCGAACAAAGTACACCCTGGCTCTGATACCATGTTAGGAATCACGACTCTCCACAGTGGTATGATATTATCCACTTTGAGCATAAATTCTCATAGTTTTGCTTTGGGCTTCCCCAAAAGGTCTCATACCGATAGAGATGTATTCCTTTACTTATAAACGCATGATCATTCCCTGAATTAGCCAATGTGGGACTCCATCCCGACAATCATCAACCATTTATAGTTTAGGTAAGTTAACCACATGACCATGCTCTTCCATTGCTACCCATATACAACATATGCTTAGTTTAGGTAAGTCCCCGTAAATAGATTCATCAAATTCCCTCTCAGACAGAAACGCCATTCGTCCATCTGCAACTCTTTCAATCTATTTGCCTCATCTGAATCCTGTGAAGGAGGAATGGTCGTTGGGAGAGAAGAGCTTGGTAAGTCCTATCCTTAAAGTTTCCAGTTCGAACAATATTTCCTCAATTTCGTTTCGTTTGATTTGATTTGGGTTAAAACAATAAATACCAAAATTATTTGTTCTACAAAAACTTGGTACAAATTCGTTGCTAAGAGGGGCCAATAATCGATTAAAGTTGGACAAAAGTTGGCTGAAAATAAGGCCAGAAGGAAGGGAAATTGAGGAAAAGATGAATATTGGTAGAAATTAGGCTTCGATCCAAGGCTCAGATTCGAAAATCGAAGCTGGTTTTTGAACCTCAAACTTGGTTGATTGCAAACCCAAACTAGTAGATTACAAACCGTAAACCTCTGCCTTTATAGATTACAAGCCCAAACTAGCACTCGAAGCTGACAGGTTCAGAGTAACCTGCAACCGTCGCGTAGCCTAGTCCAACATCCAAGTCTTCGACCTAGTTGGTACGTCAGCCCAGCCCTATAGTATATAAAGAAAGGGCTTTCTGATTGTAGGATCCTATATTGGTTGGAGAGGAGAACGAAACATTCCTTATAAAGTGTGTGGAAACCTCTTTCTATCATACGCATTTTAAAAATCTTGAAAAACCTGGAGGGGAAGCCCGAGAGGGAAAGCCCAAAGAGGACAAATCTGCTAATGGTGGGCTTGGGCCATTACAAATGGTATAAGAGCTAGAAACCATGTGGTAAGCTAGCGGGATTCTCGCTTAGCCCTGAAGGGGAGTGGATTGTGAGATACCACATCGATTGGAGAGGGGAACGAGTGCCAGCGAAGACACCAAGTCCCAAAGGGGGTGGATTGTGAGATCCCAAATTAGTTGGAGAGGGGAACGATGCATTCTTTATAAGGGTGTAAAAACATCTCACGCGTTTTAAAAACCTTGAGGGGAATCATGAAAGGGAAAGCCCAAAGAAGACAATATTTGCTAGCGGTGGGTTTGGGCCATTACATTGATTCTCAATCGGAGTCTCGTCTTTAGAAACACACATGTATCCTGTTACCAGTGGGTTTGGTTTGTTGGATAACTTGATTGTTGTATGAACAATGTGTGCCCTGTTACCATTGCACTTGTCGCAATTTTATGTTTATGCTATGATGTCAGATATGATGTGATACAATTTATGTTATGTTATAAAATACGTCAGGTAAGGATCATGTTATGTTATGGAATTATGCCATGTTATCGATACTGAATGATACATGAACCTTCATATGTCATGTCATGTAAGATATATACTACATTTGTTCATTGTCTAGGAGACATTAGAAAGGCACATGTTAATTACGGAAGACACAAGATAAGTGTAATGTATACATGTTTCATAGGATGTTGTATCATGAAAAAAAATGATATCCATCATGAAAAAAAATGATATGAATTGATACTGTGGGACTCCATGCATCATAGTCATTTATTTAAAAAGTTCCTAATTATTCAGGCAAAGTTCAATCATCTACCCTATTCTTAAGGCATTCCAACAATAAGTATCCAAGATATAATCTATATTTACTTATAATAACCTTAATCAACCCACGAGAGATCAAAACCAGATACTAAATTTATTGCACAAACACAGTGCACATAAAACTCTTGAGTCCGTACTTAAAAAAAAAAAAAAAACTCAAATGAACTTTAAACTAAACCAAAATAAAAAAAGAATCGAACATGAACCAGAGAAAAACAAACATGTATTGAAGAAACTCGCTGAACCAAGTTGAAATCAGACCAGACTGAACCAAATCAAATCGACCATATCGAACCAAACCAAACTGAATTGAGCTAGACAGAATCAACATGAACCATAACACAGGGCCATTTTTCTTCTAATGAGCAATAATTTCAGCGGCGTCCGAACAGTCCTGAGAGTGGAGATTGGAGATTGGAGATGTGAGATTGGAGATGTGTACAGCTATTCCTTAGAGAAAATGCAAGTTTTAGAGGAAGGGTCAATTAGAACAATGACTTGTTTGCTGACCTTCCATTAATTAAATTGAATTTCATAGGATAAATATGGTAGAAAAAATAAAATACAACGTTTATCATACGGATGTCAACAATTTATGGACTAGGAAAGAACAATTTTATTCCTTTTCATTCATTTGGGTAAAAAGAAATAGGATACAATAAGCGAGAAAAAAATGTTATACAAATTAATCTTTAAGTATCTTCATCAATTTTGAACGGAGAATTGGCTTCCATGTGCAGCAAGAGATTAGCAGATGGGAATTGGAGCACCGTTCCACTCTTTCAAGCACTCCAAGATAGAGTCGATCATCTTCCCTTCACACAGAGCTGTGAACACCTTTTCGCACTCTTCTCCTGGAGATATCACTTTTTCTCCTGTCAGAAGATTCGTTCCCAATTCTTCTCTCACAAACCTATACAATGGATAAGATCTGCAGTCCTTTATCTGATTCTCAATTTTGGAATTTCCACTTTCGTACGACAACCTTGCATTTTCAACTTCTTTTGGTAACACGGCCTTTAGTTCCTCCTCAAAAGCACCAATCTTTTGGAAGATTGAAGTGTCTGCGTCCTTTTCACAATCACCATTGCCAAGTGCGTGCTCAACAAGGACTTGCCTCAACTTTTGGCTCAATGGGTAAGTGGCACTGCATGGATCATCGATATAAGCAAAGGTGTGCTCTCTGTCCACAACTTTTAGAAGATCTTTCTCACAAAACCTTGATGGGTGAAGCGCTCCATTAGAGGATGTGGTCAACACTTTCTTGGCTGTTTGGCTAACACAGTTTTTCACAGTGTTCTTCAAGTTTTCTTCCAAATGCCTCAAGTCGATTGCTTGGCAGAGGGCAACCAAAAAGGTGGAAGACATGAGTTTTAAAATATCAAGGGCTTCGGCTGTTTTCCTTGAAGAGATTAAACCCAGCGAGTTAACATCTTGGTTGTGTTGCTCGGCGCTCTGTACATGGCTAGTCACTGGATTTGCAAGATATTGAAGCTCAGAGCAATAGGAAGCCATGGCAATCTCAGCACCTTTAAATCCATAATCTAAACTTGGGTTTCTGCTTGCAGAGAGATTTGAAGGCAATCCATTGTTGTAGAAATCATTGACAAGCTCTGAGAATTGAGCAAA